ACAACGTTGAAAAACGCTTTTTTTTTACTATATATGGAGGATACGTGTTGATGGACCTCGAAGCCGAAATTAAATAAATTTTCTGGGCAACTTGGAGAAGGTAATCGTCGTCCTTCATTGGATTAGCAAAGCTGCAGCAGCCACAGATCCCCACCTTGGTTGCTCACCTCATCGCAGTTCCTAATCGGATGAAAACAATGCGCGAAAGGCTCACCATATGAAGGCTCATCGATCGAAACGTCAAATTCCATCTAACCACACTCGTAAAAACGAAGAGGCTTGACTTTTACATTCAACCTGGAATCGGTGGATTTTACTTCCGACTATGGAGCAAATTCAGGTAATGGCATCGGACAATTCATAATTTCTTCAACTGTCAGAAATTCTATGCCTTACCTTATGAATTTTCCAAATATTATCTGCAAGGGAAGAACCGACCAAGATTCAATCGCTTTTCATAACCAGCATGGTGATGATAAGTCTTTCGAAGCAGCACTAATTATACTAGAAAAGATATGTGGAGTAGTTTTAACCATGATACTTTTTAAATGTAATAGTTCTTAATAGTTTTCTTCTTGACTTTATATAAAATATTGGAAAAATGTTCTCTCTTATGAAAATAAATTTATTAAAATATGTACTTTTTTTAATATACAATGTACATTTGTTTTTTAATTTTTTTTGAAAAAAAATATTTTGACTTATTTTGGAAATTCTGAACTTTTTTTCAAAGCAAACGTACTGCTTTAAACAGCATAGACACGCAATGTCAAGCGCGTAAGCGCCGCATCGCCGTCTAACGGAAAAACATTAGTTCGGAACCCATAGGAATGTAAAAAAATTTATACTTATTGTTAAAATCTCTATAAAATATCTGATAATTTGATGTGCATACGTCCAATGATCATTTTTGACCGCCAAATGGCTTTTTTTTTATTTTTTTCATTAGATCTCCGAAACCGCTAGACCTGCCTTCATGAAAATTTGATCAATTCTTCATCTTGTCAATACAAGTAAAATGTTTTTTGAATTATTAAAATCAGACGCTCTTGTTTTCTCAAAAATTGAATTACCATTTTCGGCACTTTTTGCTCCGTATCTTTGGAACGGCTAAACCTGACTTTGCCAAAACTAATCAGCACGTCTCCTTATCAATAGGAATCGAATATTTTTTTAATCATTCAAATTGGCTAATCCGTGTTTTCGAAATCGTCGACGAAAAATTGTATCCGCACATATATACATACACAAACATCCATTTTTTTCAAAGGCATGTTAAAATGTTCAGAAACCTTAGAAACGTAAAATAATCTTCATTTTCGATTTTTTGCGATTACTATATAACGTTCCCTACGGAAAGTTAATAAATAAATTAATTTAATTTATACAATTACATATATTATGAGTATGTTTGAAATACATAATTGGAAATCGTATTGATTATTTTTTAGTTAAAAGAAACATTTTACTTTTGAAATGAACAGTTAAAGGTTTTTTCTAAGCAATCTCGATTCTTAGTAATTAAGTTAATTATTCACATGTATGGGAATCTTTTGCATTATTGCTTCAGGCAAAGTGCCACTTACAACTAGTTAAAACCCTTCCTAAGGACTCCCTAACCCATTTTTATACGGAGCCCAGCCAAGGCACGCTCTGGTATATACTATAGTGAGTGTAGAGTGTAAATCTCAAAAAGCATTTTTTTTTTTGGCATAAATATGACAAAAATCTATACTAGTTGAGTTTATCTTCGTACAGTAAAATTTTCACAACTTGCAAATAGTAGAAAATCAATTCATAGAAAAAATTATACGATTCAATAACGATCTATTAAAATTAAATATACTCACTAACGCAGGTGTTATTTGCGACCTACAAGTAAAATACGACATCACTACCAATTTTATGCTTTAAGCCAGAGAAAAATTACCCTGACATTTATTTATTATGAAAATTCATTATATCACATAACTGACCCTTGACTTTGGTCGAATTAATACTTATTTTACAGGGCCGTGCTGAGCACATTTTTTTATTGCGGAAAAAATTAGTATCCATATCAGTATAAATTAAATTTAGCGTATATTCTTTTTGTTATGTTTTTTATATTTTTTTCATATAAATCATTACAAATTTAGATTAAATTCATGCAATGCTTTTTTCAATAGGTAAAATGATTCGAAAGATGGGTATGTACAAAATTGCTACCAAAAATATTAACTCTTTTCACTCGCAAATTCCGAGATTTATACGAATTTTGCCGCCGGAGTGGTGGCGTCCGAGTGGAAAGGGTTAAACTAATTATTAGTTTGCAATAATTTATAGTATTAACTATAAAGCAGCTACCTTATCGTGGTGTAAGGTGTTGAAATTGCAAAACATGAAAAATAAATTTTATTTTATATTTGTATGTTTCAAGACTTCCCGATGATTTTGCCATAAAAATGTATGTATGTGTGTGGAATATGTAACTACTACGCATGTTTGTTAGAATACGGCGTTTTTTTTAGAAAGAACGGCTGAACCGATTCAGATGATCCGAATAATATTTTATTAAATTTTTCACAATGCGGAAAGCTCATTTATTTTTGAAGGCCTGTTGACCATTTCATAGTCAGAACGAAAATGGACTAGAAACAGCAATTTAATTTATGTAATTTTATATATTAAAAAATCTAATATATTTCTTGCATTTGATCATGAAATAGAAAATTTCAGCAATTTGTCCTGATGCTTGCATTTTAAGTTAATTTTTTATGATTGTTTTATGGTAATCGGAGGTAAAAAAATTAATTTAAAATAGTTTTTTCAGAATTAATGTGTAGGAATCAACAATCTTGAAGTAGAATGTAATTATTTCGAAAATTTTATTCAAAATCAAATTGCAATTAAACGAAAAAAAAAAAAAATATGAAAAATGTAATAAAATGCATTTTCAGAATAAGTATTGACTTGATTTTTAAGGGAGTCAGTATTTGGAGAACAATATGTCCAAATAAATTTAATATTTGTGGAAAGTATAAAAGACGTATGATTGACAATTTTTTCATTCAAAATTCTGCAGTTTTATTACTCACATTGTTTAATACAAATAATTATAAAAGTTAGTAACAAACTGCATATCATAAACTTAATTTCGTTGACAAGCCGATAGGTATAGCCGATATAATATTTTTTTAAATATTTTTAGATTTGTTTAAGGTAAATTGATTGATTTTATATAACAAATTTGCATAATACTGTACAATATTGATTAAATTTATTCAAGAAAATCAAGTATAGCAATAATGCTTACATATAAAGCCGACTCTGTAATTTCGTCAAAAATAATAATAAATCATATTAGTTTTCTATTTGATACACCGTCGTGTAGGTACAGTTTCAGTAATGGTTTTATCTTAACAGTTGTTATTTTCTTTTAAATTAATTAACTTAGTTATAATATTATTTACTTAAAGAGTTATATTAGTATGGATATTAAAAAGTGCGCATATAAAATATAATTTGTAATATTTAAATATAATTTGTAACATAACATTTTAATTAGAATGATGTGTATTTTCAGTTTACGAATCATACTTTGTGCTTTGATAATCAAAACTTTTGTCACATATTCAGTGCAGCATGAAACTTACGAATTGATTCATAATATAACTCGATATAAAAGACAGAATTTGGCAATTGAACCAATTTTTAAGGTAATTCATTTTCATTATTTTTATGTTAAATAATTACTATTTAAATGTATTGTCTCATTATAACTAGTATAAATCTAGGCCAGCAATGTCAAAGTAGAAAGTATCATTCATCATTTGATCTTTTAAGCAAATAAATTTTGAAAATATTTATTAAAAATGGTAAAAAAGCAGTATCCAGATGCATAGGAAAATATAAAAGTTTTTAAATTTTACAAAAGGTCTTTTGACCTTTAATTTTTTATATTTCACAACAACCCAAAATAATTAAACTTTCCGAAACAGACGTTCACGTTTTCAATTTTTTGAAACCAAATTTAAAATCTTTTTGACTCGCGATGATTGGTTTTGTGAGACGATCGGTTGAGCCGTTCCTTTATAACACAAAAATGCAAAATTATGTGTTTACGTTGTAGTCAATAATTTTGAAACAATTTTGAAAATTAAAAAAACTTTGAGCTCGCCCGTAGGTAAGCGGTTAAGAGCGACAGGACTTGTTTCAGAGGTCCCGGGTTCGATTCCCACTTCGAGCAGCCTGTTGTCAGGCAACATTGACAACGATTTTCATTCGGAAATATAGATAGCAATATGTTTCCAAGTGAAAATAGCCCTCTCCGGCATTGTTGCACCATACTTGCCCTATTACAGAGATTGTAATAAAAATTTATCATACAGAGATGTGACAACTGTTTGGGTTGCCATATGTAATAAAACAAACGTAGTTTGTAAGATCTTACTCACAACAGCTCATAGAACCCATTAGTTCTGAATATACCTATTTTATATTTTCAGAACAATGGACACCGGTTATCATTTTATTTGCGTTTCTAGGAGATTTTTTTTTCTCGGATGCTTATATTATATACATATATGTATTATATTTTCTATTTTATTTTATTTAATATACTCATTTTCTAAATATAAATTTAGTACATCATTTGTCGAAGTTTAACAAAATAATAATTTTTATTTATGATTCACTTTGTATAAAAATGTGCAAGCACAAGTTGCTAATTTTCGATAAATTTTGTGTCTATTATCTATGTTTGTATTTAGTGGTTCAAAATGAAGAAACATTTATATATATATATTCAATAATTGGTTTGTTTTCAGTGGAAAAGTAATGCATTTGCATATTCAGTTTTCTGATTAAATTGATTATTTTACCAGGGTCATCCCAAAACTCGAGAAGAACTATGGGACCGAGCTTTCAATGGTGAACGCACTGCATTTGACCAGACTCCCAGCCTGGTGTTTCTTTTGGATACATTGGCCAGGAGATATCTCCGAGACTGTGTTCCGGTTATACTTTATGACTCGATGGTAGAACATGGCGAAGATCTTCTACTTCAACAGTTGTTCAAAAAATTCCCACTATCATTTTTTCACGGAAGAATCGGTAAAACGTGAATTCTAATAGTATCAGCTATTAACTTTACCTTTAGTTGTGAAAATTTCATAATTTTAATAATATGACCTATATCAAAAGATTTTAATATCGAGAATTTCAGAAATATCGTATACTGGAACCTTAGTTGATAGAAATACCAAAAATACAGTATCTTAAGATACCATTTTGTATTGTTGATTATTATTATTCATATAATATTTGTACACAAATTGTCGGTTTTAAAGTATTTTTTTATAAATAGATGACAATTATAAAATTGCTGATAAACGATTGCTGGAACCTATGGGAAGTGATGATAAATGCAGAAGTTACATACTATTTTTGGCAGATGTGATGCGCAGCAGCAGCGTTATTGGACCACAAACACATGCAAAGGTTTTTAAATTAAATTAATTCAAAAAAATGAAATAAAATTATAACAACAAGGTTATTTAAGTTATAAGTTTTATGTAAGACTAGAACTAATATACTCAACTAATCATTGCGTGCTTAGGTATTAACTATTTTCAAAAGCATACTATTTTGAATGTTATCTAAATTATGTTACTTTAACGTCGTATAATTATTATGTAAATATATACTGCAGCTAACAACATAAATACTTAGCATCCATATCTAAGAATCCAACTTTTCTTATTACCAATCTTTTCTCTCTGGATTTCAATTTATTTTGTAATGGGTTTCTGTAGAGATATTTGCCACGTTTCCAAAATTTACGCAGTGCGTGTACTAGCTTTTCCAACTTTTCATCCAAAGTTCCACCTACCTTTAAATGAATTTTTGAATAACAGAAGAAAAATGTACAGGCTTTCGAATGATGCTAATTTAAAAGTACTCCAAAAAGTCGCACTGGTATATGAATAATCATTTTTACCTTTTCACGCACTAACAAATAATTTTTTCACATTATTTGTTATGAACAACATAGACAAGATCAGTATAAATAGAATGACGTTAACATTTTTTCGATATCTCTCATATTTCCGACAAAAAGTGAGCTTGAATAAAGGGGCCACTGTTTTCAGTGATATCTCGGCCAAATGATAAGCTACGGATTTGAAACTTAGTATAGGTCGGATTTTTTTTGAAAATATCTATAAAATGGCATCAAAATTATTTAAATACCAGGGTGGGGCCGATTCTGTATGGAAACACGCCCATACCCTTTAGTCATATTGTCTACGTCTGCAGATATTATGATCATGACTTTCAATGAAATTCATTTTTAATTTTAAAATTGATAGTTATATTACGTAAACAGGTAATAGTAGTTGCAAGATCTTCACAGTGGCGTGTACAAGAGTTTTTAACCCATTCAGCATCCAGACATTTTGTAAATCTATTAGTAATCGGTCAGTCCTTGAGAGAAGGAGATAACACAGTGGTAAATTTTTTTGCAATAACTGATTCATGCATTATAAATTACTTGTTGATTTTTTTTTTTGATTGGGTTCAATTAAATATTTTAGGAATTGCCTTTCGTTCTATACACACACCGTTTATATATGGATGGTCTTGGTTCAAGTGCTCCAAAAGTTCTCACCAGCTGGGTTCAGGGAAGATTAACAAGACCCCGTGTGAATCTGTTTCCAAAAAAAATTACCGAAGGATTTGCTGGCCACAGATTTACAGTCAGTGTCGCCGATCAGCCACCATATATTTTTAAAAAGTAATTGTGGTTTATCTTTTTTATTTTCTTAACGTGCCATTGGTTGAAGAATATGGTTTAATATGGTTTAACAGAGTATTAGCAATTCATAATTTTTTTCCATTTTATATCTGAATATTTCTAGGCTTTCGCTTGACATAAATGGGCAATATTCTGTAGCCTGGGATGGAATTGAATATCGTATGTTAAATATGTTTGGCAAATTGTTGAATTTTAGTATAGAATACAGAGAACCGGGTGATATGAGATTGGGGTAATGTTGAATTGTATCTATCATAGCACTTTAAATAAGAATATTTTAATTTTCTTCAAAATACTACTTCTACTTTTAGCCCAGGAGATTCAGTGAAAAATGAATTAGCTGCTGGTAGGGCAGATATTGGGGTAGCCGGAATGTATGTGACTGAAGAAAGGTTAACCAAATTAGAAATGTCATCAATGCATGCTCAAGATTGTGCTGTTTTTATTACACTCCAATCAACGGCATTACCCAGGTTAAAATTTACAAATTTAAAAAATAAAAAATAAAAATAATAACCAACATTTTTTTCAGATATCGCGCTATAATGGGCCCTTTCCACTGGTCGGTATGGATTTGTTTAGTATTCACTTACTTACTAGGTATATTTCCTCTGGCATATTCTGACAGGCACACTTTTAAGCATCTTCTAGGTAAATATTTATAATCATTTTTTGTAATTATTTTCGATTTGCAAAACTATTAGAGTAGCTATAGAAATATATTTGGACATCTGTAAAATATAATAGCTTTCCGACTTTGAGCAAAGTTTTTAGCAGACCTTAAGTGTCGACTAATTTCCTTGATAATATTTACAGAAAAATGAAAATTTATATCTTATTGTCATTTTTATAGTATTACTTTCATAGTTATAAAATTGATTGTTCTCGAGATTTTTAAGATCTTTTCTAACTATCCACTATTTTCAAGTTTTTCAATAATAAATTTATTGAGATTTTTAGTTTTATGATTGATTGGTTAGTTGAGTGCCATTGGATTAAAATCCGGAAACTCCAGCAATTTTCTTAAGGCATAAATACTATATACTATTTTAATTGCTCATATATGATTGAATTTTAATTATTTCGTTTTAAGAAAATTCTGGTGAAATCGAAAATATGTTCTGGTACGTATTTGGTACCTTCACCAATGCGTTCAGCTTTAGTGGTGAAAATAGTTGGAGCAAAGCTGAAAAGATTACTACCAAGATTCTCATAGGTAAATAAAATATTAAATACCTTTTCATGCATATTTTCGTATTTTACTAAATTTGATCTATTTCAGCATCATATTGGCTATTTACTATTATTGTAACCGCTTGTTACACAGGTTCTATAATTGCATTTGTTACATTACCAGTTTTTCCTGAAACTATTAATACTATCAGAGAATTGATTTCTGGTTTCTTTCGAGTTGGTATTTTAGGTAAGATTAATTAATAAAACTATTATTTTAATTAATATGTTCAATTTAGAGTTTCTATATTTTCATTATCAAACATTGTTTGATGTTCTAGCAATACCCATGTAAATTGCATATTAAAATATATTTTAGATAAAGGTGGTTGGCAACATTGGTTTGAAAATTCAACTGACGAAGCCGTCGCAAAACTTTGGAAAAATATTGAATTTCTTCCAGATGTGCAATCGGGACTTCATAATACTACACACGCTTTCTTTTGGCCTTATGCATTTTTTGGTTCGAAGGCCCAACTTGAATATATAGTGCAGGCCAACTATAGTGTAGAGTGAGTGAAAAATTTACTTATTAACGCTTTTCACTCGTGAATTCCGAGATTTATATGGATTTTGCCGCCTGAGCGGAATAGGTTAATCATGTACGAGGGTCATGTAAAAAATAAGGTTCCCACATTTTTTCAGGGTTGAGGCATTTTTTATTGCAACTAGCTGTAAGTGGAATTCTGTCTTAAGGCAATTAAGGCATCGTGCCTTAAGGCAAATTGCTGGAACTTCCCGTACCAAAAATTATTATTTTTTTAAAAACGATTGACATTTTTAAAAAAAAATTACTTCGAAAAAATAAGATGTTTAAGAAACTATAAATTGGACAAAAAATTACTTTTTTTTGAAAAAATTTTTTTTTAAAAAAATTTTTTTTAATTTTTTTTTTTTTGTTTTTTTTTTGAAATTTTTTTTTTTTTATTTTGACATATTGTGAAAGATCTGAACTTTCTTTTCAAAGCAATCGTACTGCTTTAACTGCATAGGGACAAAATATAAAGCGCGTAAGCGCCGCGTCGCTGTCTAACGCATAAGCATTGGTACGGAACCAATAGGAATGTTAACAAAATGTATACTTATTGTTAAAATCTCTATAAAATATCTGATAATTTGATGTGCATATGTCTAATGATCATTTTTGACCGCCAAATGGCTCATTTTTTTACTTTTTCCTCCATATCTCCGAAACCGCTAGAGCTACCTTCATGAAAATTTTATCGATTCTTAATCTTGTCAATACAAGTAAAATGTTTTTTGAATTATTCAAATCGGACGCTCCGTTCTCTCAAAAACTGAGTTACCGTTTTCGGCACTTTTTGCCCCGTATCTTCGGAACGGCTAGACCTGCCTTCGCCAAAAACTAATCAGCACGTCTCCTTATCAATACGAATCGAATGTTTTTTGAATTATTCAAATCGGTTGATCCGTGTTCCCGAAATCGTCGACGAAAATTTGTATCCGCACATACATACACACACGTACATACATACATACATACACACACACACACACACATACACACACACACACACACACACATACATCCATTTTTTCTAAGGTATGCCAAAATGTTCAGAAACCTCTGAAACGTAAAGATATATAAAAATTTTCATTTTCGATTTGTTTGCGATTACTATAACTTACCCTACGGGAAGTTAATAAATGTGTATACCATCGGAAAGCTTGTATTTCAAACTATTTTTCTACATAGGCGCCAGATCTTTCAAGGCGTTTTTTCTGAAGAATTTTCCACTTCTGAAAACCCGCTTCGAAGAACTCCGCCGCCACACCCTTGCTTGGTCTTCTTCTCCGGCGATTTTGGATGGCTTTTTTGAGTTTTGTTAGTGTCTCACAGTACTTGTCCGAATTTATAGTGGACCTTTCAAACATTAACTCAGTAAGCAAGACACATTTTCGGTCCCAAAACTCGATGGCTTCCCGCTCCTTTGCTCGTCGTGAACGTCTGCGCGTCCTTCGGAGAACTACCTGCACCGTTTGAAGACGTGCTAGATGCTGATGCAAATTTTGCCATAAACTTCTTCCAACTGTCTATGAATTTCAATAGGTGTAAGCTTTTTTGCGTTTAAAAATCGAATGACTGAACGGATTGCACACCTGGCGGTAACGGCAATTGCGCGCTCCATCGTGGATGGCTGTTAGATTGGCACTAAGCTTTGCAGTGATCTTCCCGGTAGTTGGAATGGAGTGGCAAGGATCAACAATGAAAATGGTGTTGCCGGATTTCCCCTAGTATATCGCGCGGCGAGTGTACAGCGTTGGGAACCTTATTTTTTACATGCCCCACGTATATATATATGAAGAGTTGGTATCCAAAGTGGATCATCGGAAATAGAATTTGACGCCATTAAACCGTGTCGATAAATTTGCTATTATTTAAAGTTATTATCTTCAATTAGTTTACACACTAATTACCATTTATCTTTATATTATTTGACTTATTTTTGCATATTTTATGAATAAAGCAGGAGCCCTATAGTTGACTCTGGATTGTAGAACGCAAAACTATTTTAGAGAGTCATTTTTGCTGCCATTTAACAACAGATATAAATATTATGTATAGTTCAATCTGAAAACATTATTTAGTAAAAAGTTCATCATATCTTTACCGTATCTCAAATTTCCCCCGTTTTGTCGGATGGTCCACTCTGGTTACCAACTATTTACATCCAGTTGGTACTTCTTTATAGAATTAAATATTTGCATTTAGGAACATAATTGACATTTTGATTTTTATTCAGAAATAAACGATCAGTTTTACATATTTCCGACAAATGTTTTGTACCTTTCGGTGTTGCTATTGGTTTTCCGAAGCACGCCATCCACGCATCGAGAATTGATACTCTCATTCAGCACGCCTGGCAAGGCGGCCTTCTCACTAAGTTGACCAACCAAGTCAAATGGGATGTGCAGAGGTCTAGTACGGGAAAACTTCTCATGGTTAGTATAACTAATAATCTACTCTCAAATAATATATATTGACTTCCCATAGCGTATGTTATTGTAATCGTCCAAAAATCGAAATTAATTTTTTTTGCATATCTTCACTTTTCGATGGTTTCTGATTATTTTGGCAAACTTTAGAAAAAATTGATGTCTGTGTGTGTATGTTTTCTGTGTCCGTAATATTTTTGGCGCACTGTTTCGTGTTCGTCCACGTTTTTGGGCGCACTGATTTACCAATTTAAATGATTCAAAAAACATTTGTGTCCTATTGGTAGGAAGATGGCTGATTAGTTTTTAGCAAAGGCAGGTCCAGCCGTTTTCGAGATACGGGGCAAATAGTGCAGAAAATAGAAATCGAGTTTTTGAAAGAACAGAGCATTCGATTTGATTGATCCAAAAAACATTCAATTTGTAATGATGAGAAAAAATGGTGATCAATTTTTGGCAAAGGCAGGTTCAGCCATTTCGGAGATACGGAGCTAAATGTGCAATAAATTTCAGTTTTGGGAAGAACTAAGCATCCGATTTGAATAATTAAAAAAAACTTTCTGCTTGTGTTGATAAAACAATTGCTTTTCAAGACTTTTTTTTTATTTCAAAATTAATTTTTTTTTTCAAAATATATATATATATATATATATATATATATATATATATGTATCGGAAATAATTCGGATTGTTAATTTAATTCTGGCCAAAGTTCTAAAGCTCACTTATATACTTTAAATAAATAAATTTAACTTTGTAATTCAGTTTATATAATTCTTATACATATTCTTATATTATTAGACAATGTCTTTCATTTTAAATCCGATTCATAAAGTTTCTCACTCGGTTTATAGCCGTTTATTAACTAATTTGAAGATGGTAGTTATTGATGCTGTTTTCTTCAATCTTTCAAAAGCATTTAAAAGTATTTCTTATGATATTTTTTTGATAAACTAGCAATATGATTTCAATGCGCCTAAATGACTAAAATCTTACTTAACAGACATAACCCAAGGCGTCTAGTTAGATGTAAAAATGGGTGTCCTTCAAGGATCAATTTTTGGTCTACTTACTTAATTGCCAAATCTTTGTGACTTTATTTTGTTCACAAATGAAATTTGTTTTCTAAGCTCTCTGTTGAAAATAAGTTGCTGCTATATAAATCAATCATTAAACCAATCTGGACCTACGGAATTGAGCTCTGGGGCTGTGCTTACAAATCAAATATAGCTATAATGCATAGAACTCAGTCAAAAATTTTACGTACAATACTTAATTCCCCGTGGTGCGTGACAAATAAAACCATTCACAGCGATCTCAACATGAAAACGGTGCAATTTACGTTCTAAGAATTTAAGGAAAAATACAAACGTAAACTGGCATCACATCCAAACCCATCAATAGACGATATTACCCAACCATTTGGCGTAAGAAGATTGAAACGTCAATGGCCTTTGGATTTAGTTTTAGATTAGCTTCAATATAACATTATCTTTTCAATTGTTAAACTAAGAAGATCTCACTGGAGTTCTTCTTAGACATCGCTCTCAAATATTGTCAATTTAGCTTATAGGAATCCTTATGTATTTCTGATTGCTGAATAAAACAGAGTTAAACAAAAATGAAATTTAGGATGACCTTATAACGAAATAAAGAGTTAACTATATTTAACTTAAACACTTATTTGCAATAACTCTTTAAAAAAAGTTCCAAGAGAATTATCACTAATATATTTGAAAATATTTTTGTTGGCAGGCATCCTTTGGTAAAGCATTACGATCATCAGCACCTGATGAAAGAGGTTTAACGTTGGCTGATACAGAAGGTATGTTCTTATTGCTAGGAGCTGGTTTCATTGCTGCAGGAGCTGCTCTAATATCGGAATGGATGGGTGGATGTAGCAGAAAATGCCGCTCTATTATCCGCGTAATTAATTAATTTAGGAATTTTTGATTTTGTTTGTTAATATTGGTTCATATAATATCAAATTAAATAAGTTTATTGGATTTTATGATTTAATATAATATTAAATTAGCCTTTTTGAATATTGCCAATTAAATTTACAGAAAAAGAAACAAGATGAAGCTGACGAATTAGAAAGACAACAGCATTTGGAAGTTTCTGATGCAACTTCTTTGAGTACAGATGATGGAACAACTGCAAAGAGCAAAAATGACCGCAAAAAGTCTTCTCAAACTTACAGAGTTGATACACCTTGTCCAGAGTAAGGGAACTTGCTTTTTTTGTTAGATTCTTAATACAAAAAGTCAGATTTAATTGACAACGATTTGCGAGATAAGAAGAAAGAATCCTTATCAGAAATAAATTTTTCTCGCACCAAAAAATAACAACTTTAATAATTGCTTTTAAGTTCTGTATGGTTACATATTCAATTGATATTTTTTTAAATTATGCAAATATTTCTGAATGATTAAAAGTATATTTCTATGTAGGTTGAGATTACACGGATCAAATTCAAATCTATCGCTGAATAAAAGTGTTTTGCGTCGTGCTTCTGTAGAAGTCCATGAACATAGTTCATCTAACCATCTTGATTGCCTTTCAACAGATGGAAAGATTCTGCACAAAATTGAAAATGGGAAATGTAATGGACTGGTTAGTAGTCAAGCAAAGTAATTTGTTTTATTTCACATGTTATGTTTTTAATCTCGTAGTTTTGTATACAATATCATATATGTGAAATATGATTCTTAGAATGGCAACAATGATAATGCTGAGTTAAATGATGTTCAACATGGCGATCCTGTAACTAACGAAAATCTAATCTACTTCGAAAATTCAGAGTTAAGTGATTTGCAGTTTGAAGGCCCTATGACATTCGAGAAACATATAAAGCACTTGGAGACAAATAAAGAGGATAAAAAAATTAATAAGGAGTATACAGAAATGAATCATTTGAAATTTGAAGGCCCTATGACCTTTGAAGAACACATGAAGCACTTAGAAACCGATAAAGAGAATGCAGAAATAAATTATTTGAAATTCGAAGGTCCTATGACCTTTGAAGAACACATAAAGCACTTGGAAACCAATAAAGAGAATGCAGAAATAAACCATTTGAAATTTGAAGGTCCTATGACCCTTGAAGAACATATGAAGCACTTGGAAACCAATAAAGAGAATACAGCAATAAATCATTTGAAATTTGAAGGTCCTATGACTCTTGAAGAACATATAAAGAACTTAAAAGCGAATGAAGATAATACAGGAATAAATCATTTAAAATTTGAAGGTCCAATGACCTTTGAAGAACATATAAAGCACTTGGAATCCAATAAGAAGAATACAGAAATAAATAATTTGAAATTTGAAGGTCCCATAACTTACGAAGAGTATATATTGGAAACAAATGAAGAAAATTCAGAAATAAATAATTCGAAATTAAACTTGATGAATAATTGTGTCGATCCGATAATGGATTGTGAATGTACTACTAATATGAGCAGAGAAGAGCTGCTGGAAAATAAATTATTTGGAGAAAAGGTTAATTGAAAATACTTTTTTAGTTTGTAAACACCAATTGGTTTGCAGATAAATATTAGAAAACAAGTTATAATTAATTGTGCTTTTATTGCCGTGTCAATAACAATCAATTTTTTATTTATTTTCCTTTGAGAACTAAACCACGTGATTTTTGATCCCAAATATTTAATTATTAATAATAAGCACTAATATATGGTTAGTTTATCCTAACGAAAAGTAGTATCTAGCTCATGATCGAAATTATCTAGTTTGAAAAATATATTTAGATCTGTAGAATATTGGTTATTTATACATGTATCGCATATAATAATAGGCACGTATCGAATATAATAATTTATTATAGTTATTTCTTAAACTAGTATTTTACAAACAAATACTGTTTCTTTATTAAAATTATTTGTACTAGAAGATGTAAATAAAATTAAAATTCAATCTGCTCCTGGTATCGAAAGGTCTGTATCAGAAGATCTATTAAGTAGATTTGTAATTTTTTCTGTTTCTAACATATTGTGCATATTTCATCAGACATTGGTTCGGTATGAGTCGTAAAAATATATCAATATTTGAAAAAAATAGTTTAACCATCTTTTATTATTTCACCAATGTGTTCTTATATAAAAAACAATAAAAATAGTGTACTCTTGATAATATAAGTAAAACATTTGCTGTGATATGTAATACCGACTTTACAAACTTTAATATTTAACATGATCATCTTATATTCGTAACAATTACTCAATTTACCGGAACTAGAAAAAAAACTTTAGCAGTTACTATTTACAAGTGTAAGTCCACATTACAATTATTTCAAAAAACGCGCCATGAAGTCAGACGTTGGCGTTAAATCTAACGTGCGCCACTATTAAGTAACACCTGCAAATTTCACCTGTGATGTTGTAGAAGGTTAGTTTAGACAGTTGCAGACCTATTATTTCGATAACATTCTCTCAGTGGTTTGTGGAGAAAGTAAACAATATTATGAGCCAAAAGACACTATTGCCACAAGTAAGTGCAATGAAATGAACGATTTTATATTGAATTTCCTCTTGATATAGATGACTTTATATTGTACATACATTACGTTTTAACAACTATGCAATTCAGCTAAAGTTTTGTGGTTTGGTGGAAGTACTCTTAACCTCCAAATTTTCGGCTTGTTTGGGGATGAGGAAACAAATGTCGTTCTATTACATGAATAAAAGATAACATATTAAATGTATGTATATAAATGTTTATATTATAATGCAACATACGGGCAGCAAAATTATCGCGAATCCTGTCACCATAATCAACTAATTCGTTGCTATCAAATCCAAAATATATTAGTTGTTCGCTTTGTGATAGTATAGATAAAATTCATAAATATTTGCCTATTATTTGAATAGATTTTTGATGAATTTTTATATTGAGTATTGAGTTTATAATGATCTTTTTGCAAAAGGCAATTTTGTAACAAGGACACAAACAACCTGCGGCTGTGAAACTGTTAACTTTAAATACCAGAAAGTATTTAAAATAAAATTACGAATTACAAAATTGGTGAATGATGTTTCCATCTGTTTGCATTTATTTTTAAAATAAGCAATGTGCACTTACAATTGAGTATTATTAAAAATTATCCATTTCGTATATTAAATAAAAATTTATAACGGCGTGACCTTATTCTTTTTACTCCAAAATTCTTCATAAAAAACCAAATATTTACATCATGATAAAAAGATTTACATTAGATAACAAAATTATAATTGCGTTTTATTTCCTTCTTAATGATTTCCTTCATAATGATTTTATCAAAATGGTAGTTTTATAAAAATATAAAAAAAACACATATCGTGAGTTTTCACTTTACTATTTTTATCATGCGTTCTAATTTATAACATGCATTTTCAAAACTCCAATCAGATAAGATTTCCTCTTTCATTGATAACTATTAATGAGATTTCCTCTTTCAGTTAATTAGTTATACAAAGATGAAGAATAATGTGTGATAATCATATAAAGCAAGAAATATGTGTCATTATCAATAACAAAGATATCCCGGAATTATAAAACATATTTAGTATAAAAAGTGGTAGTAGCGTTAAGCAACTTTATGTATCACCGAATATTACCTTATTTTTGGTAAATCAAATCCATATTAAAACTTGGTACAGATTTATCAGTAACATGCAGCTGTAAAATAATAAAAGCTAGTTAAATAAATTATGTTAATATATATAATATTTTACTAAAATACTTACAAGGTCTTGCTTCAATTTTATATATTTCAACTGAATGCACGGATTTAAACATAATAATGTTTGCCTGTAATCCGCTTGATATTCTGGATTTTCACTTCGAACGCATGTTAAATATTCTTTCAGGTTACATATTTTTGACTGACCTGGTAATAAATGAAATAGTTAAATTTGTTTATTTATTCTGAATATTTAATGTTTTCGAAAATATTTTTTTAGAATAGAAGAAAACTTCTCTTCTCGTACTGCGCACCATATCAACAGTTTACTTAATTGATGCGCAGCAACCGCATTAATGGAATTATCTGTTCCCTTTTTGGCAATAAATTCTTAGATTTTTTACATGAAAATAATTTTTTGTGGAATAATTTTATTTACATTGAAAAGCTTTTGTTATTTGATTAAAAAACAATTGGACCGATTCTGCCGCACAACAGACCAATGTTATGACAAGGCTATGTTATAAAGAACTTTTCATACTAAATGTTGACAAAGCCATGTGGTTGCTTTGCAGTCAGGCGTTTTTCTCAGGTTGTCAGATAGAAAACCTAACATAGAAACCGCACAAAGGTCTAAAAAACTTAGATAACAGGGTCTTTCTGACCCAGCTTCATAACATACAAGTGACGTGCAGTTTATGTGTAAATAGTCTGAATGCACAAAAACTACATGACATTTTGACAGTATTCAGTATGATTCAGTAGTATAATGTATAGAAGTTGGAGCGTAACATGGCCTGGCTATAACATTGGTCTGTTGTGCAGCAGAATCGACCCAAATGTTTATATATATATAACTGTACTTACGATTTGCATGCAAATAGTACGGGCGACAATTACACTTTTTGGAGTATTGCTCAGCAGTATCGGCGATCTTGCAAAGCCGTCTTGAGTACAACTGCAATAAAAATATTTTATATTTCTAATTTTTACCCTGGATAAATTTATTTTTATTGTATTATTTATATATCTTACAGTCATTGTCTTTTGCTGTGGCTCGCGGATGTTCATGCATTTTCGTTGATTTGGGCTCAATGAATTTATATTGGAATCTGATACTGTCCAATCTGCTGTGTACTCAGTTGTAGGTGAAGATGTAGCTGTTACGTGAAAATTTTGACTTGGGTTCAGGATTTCATAAGGTGAGTGAATATACAACTGAAAATTAAACATATATTTACATGATTAAATAGCATATTTCTATTATGCTAAACTTTCAAACAAACTCTCATTTTGATCGCTCTTTGAATATTAGAGGGACGCAATTTTAATTATATTTGAAAATGCAATTGAACTATAGTTTTGTACAAGAGTGTCGTCTATAGACTACATTGAGTGTATCGACTTTTGCTTCAAAATTTATCACTCTGAGGTAAATTACTGGTAATTCTAATTCATTATTGTAATGCTTACTGCTTTAGAAGTATGATATAAATTTTTTAACTTATCGTGGGGTAAATTATAGTAATCGTAAAAAATATTTTTTTTACATATCTTTATGCTTCAAAGGTTTCTGAACATTTTGCGCGTGTATGTGTGTGTGTGTGTTCGGATACAAATTTTCCTCGACGATTTTGGAAACACGGATCAACGATTTGGATAATTCAAAAAAACATTGATTCGTATTAATGGGGAGACATGCTGACTACTTTTTGGCAAAGACAGGTCCAGCCGTTTCGAAGTAACGTGACAAAAAGTGCCAAAATTGGTAATGCAGTTTTCGAGATAGTGAAGCGTCCGATTTAAACGATTCAAAAAACATTTTATTTATATTGACGACGTGAAGAGCTTATTAAATATTTGGAATGGCAGGTCCAGCGGTTTCGTAGATCTAATACAAAAAGTAAAATAAATGCCATTCGGCGATCAAAAATGATATATGTACATCAAATTATCAGACATTTATAGAGATTTTAATGATAAGGAGAAATTTTGTTGATATTTCTATGGGTTCCATAGCAATATTTGTCAATTAGACTGCGACGCGACGCGTACGCGCTTTGGTATTTCGACTCTAAAACAGCTACGCAACGCAATAATTTTAAAAAAAGTTCTAACTTTACAAAATCTCCGAATATATAAAAAAAACAAAGAAATCAAACTTTTTAAAAAAATTTAAAATTTCCAAAATCTAAATTTCATAGTTTTCAAACAATTTTATAGTTCTTTTCTTTTAATTTTTTTTTATTTCTGGTACGGAAAGTTTCAGCAATTTACTAGTTTACTACCAATAATAATTATAACTATAACTTTTTATTATTTATTATAATTATTATTATTATTACTTACATCAAAATCACGATAACTCTTGAGATATAAACTCCCTCCGACTTTATCCAGAGCAAACAATTTTGGTTCAAATATTTTTGGTTCTTGTGATGCACTAAAATAGTAATTTAATATTTATCCCATTCAAATATGATTTAATGTGCAATGTTTCTATACAGATTAAATACTTACATAGTATCATTTACACTTATCATGTAACTAACTATGGAATTGAAAGAAAGGCATAAACCTTTTTCAGTCATGATCAATGTGAAATTTTCTTCTGCTTCCTTATCATTTACAGTCAGCTCTAGATCAGAATCTGGATAAACCTGTAAATGAGGTTAAAGATGCTTGTGTAATTAAAAAATTACACTAAATCTTAATATATTCTCAATTATATGATATAATATATCAAAATGACTTAACAAAGATGTCGCAACTTTCCTTAAATCAAAATGCCAATTACACATTGTTTATAGTTTCAAATTTACTACTCAAATTTGTCTATATTAATATGTAGACAAATAAATGATTTTTATTTCTCTTTTTAACTTCCCGTAGGGGAAGTTATAGTAACCGCAAAAAAATCGAAAATGAAAATTTTATAATATATCTTTCGATTTCAAAGGTTTCTGAACATTTTGGCATACCTTAGAAAAAATTGATGTATGTGTGTGTGTGTGTGCGGATACAAATTTTTGTCGACGATTTCGGGAACACCGATCAACCGATTTGAATAATTCGTATTGATAAGGAAGCGTGCTAATTAGTTTTTGGCGAAAACAGGTCTAGCCGTTCCGAAGATACTGAGCAAAAAGTGCCAAAAACGATAACTCAGTTTTTAAGAGAACGGAGCGTGCGATTTGAATAATTCAAAAAACATTTCACTTGCATTGACGAAATGAACAATTGGTAAAATTTTTGGAAGGCAGGTCTAGCGCTTATGGATTCTCTATAAAAATAATTTACAAAAATGTTATTTGACGGTCAAAAATGTTCATTGGACATATGTACATCAAATTATCAGATATTTTATAGAGATTTTATTATTGTGCATACATTTTGTGTAAATTTTTTTGAGTTCCGTACCAAGATTTTTAATTTTGAATTTTTTTTTATATGGTTCAAACAAATGCCCTCGACATTTTCGACAGTATGGAATAACCGATTTGTATGGTTAAAAAATCATTCGGTTTGTACTCGATCACGAGTCGTTTTTGCAAAAGGCAATTTTGTCGTTTCGGAGGTATGGAGCGTAAAGGGTGTAAAAACAGTTATGCAGTTTTTGAGAGAACGGATTCTCCGATTAGATTGATTCAAAAAAACATTTTGCTTGAGTAGATGGTGTGCTGTTCTCTAGAGAAATATTTCTCTAAAAAAAATATGCACTGTTCTCTAAATATGAACATTTTCCTTACTGTAATAATCGAAAGTATTGTAATTGTAAGAAACAAAATTGAAGTTTTGATTCTAATAAAGATATTCTTCCACTGTGTATCGATATAACAAAATAATAGGTGCCTCATGATAATTAATTTGCCTCATGAAGCAAATCGTAAAATGCATAATATATCACTATGAAATGTTATAATTTAATAAGTGGTTGTACGTAGTTATGTTTTAAACCATCTCGTTTCAATATTTCTTGCAAAAATTATTATAATAAATTTGATTCGATATAATAATTACTCCGATAAATTCATTTATAGCAAATAAGCAAATAATAAGAATTTGCTTGTATTAAACCCGTTCTACCACAGATGTCGTTAGGGGTTGATTTGTTCACCTCGCGTGCCTCGCGTTGCGTAGTATAGACCAATGCAATGTGCACTATATATACAAAGTAAATATTCATATAAGTAAGTATCGCGTTTGGTATCAGCTTTCTAGACTCACTGGTTTCTGCATCCGATTTTCACGGATTTTCATGTTAAATTATCAAAATATATCCAATCCTGTTGACTCTCGAAAGGGATTCAGGCACGATGCTTTTGTCATCTTGTAGGGTCACAGTGTATTATGACTTTATACATATATATTCAATATTATACAGAAATAATTAAAATTTACTAATTAAAAAATAGTTGCTTACAAAGAAATAATTTATGAATGCATCATTTATTTTTAAGGCAAAAGCATCGTAAAATAATTATTATCTAATTATTTAAAAGCAAATAAATATAGCAAATAGGTGTAAAAACGGTTATGCAGTTTTTGAAAGAACGGATTAGATTAATTCAAAAAACATTTTGCTTGAGTAGATGGTGTGCAAAAAATGCATTCACAAAAAATTTAGTAATTTTAATCAAAGTATCAAAAAATTCAAATTTTCAAAAAAACTAATTTCGAAAAATTAAAAAAAAAATCGAATATTTTCAAAAATTTCCAAAACCTCAAAATTTTAGACTTTAAAATTTATTGTTATAAAAAAAATTCTCAATTATCAAAAGATTTCTAAATTATCAAAAAAAATCCATTTTTTTTTAAAAATGGACTCTTGTAAACGTACACATAAGTTGTTTATAAAATACGCTCATCACCCAATTTAAAAAACAATTATTGATTATTTCAATTTCTCGAATGTTAAATTACGGTACGGTAAGTTCCAGCAATTTGCCTTAAGGCACAATGCCATGCGCCTCACTAGTTATATATTTGCACCTATTTCATCATAAAGCATCAGCAATTTTTTTGGTAGTGCTTAGAATGTCTGAATCGGATTGATAAATAAATGAAATATAACATATTTTTTTCATTAACTTGGATTAGATTTTCCAAATAATTTAAACCAATTCTTTTGTTTAATCAAACATTTCATTTCAAAAATAGAATATTATTTGTTTGTGATAGATTACTATTGCGCTTCTTAGAAAAACTTGTACCAATAAATAATAATTCTTGATAAGATCTTTTTATGTAAAGTTGATTTTTCTGCATAATTATCTATACCTACTAAATCATAAAATTGTCTATATACTAAACTAAACTATGACTACAGCTTTTAATCTTCTGAATTATATAGTATTATTTTATTATGATTTGGTATAAAAAAAAAACTACATGGAGGTGCCAGTAGAGCTTTTGTACTAACGGACGCATTTTACTCAATAATAGTATATGTTCCAAAGTTTGCATATATTAAATACATTTCTAAAATCAATAAATTTACCGAACTGTTTTAACTTGACTTATTTAAGTAATTAGTTTTGAAGTTGATTTACAAAATAATTAATTTAATTTTTAGCATGTTGATACTCACGCTTACAGCGATATCCAACATTGAAACTTTACTTAAATTCGGGTCGTCAATCATTTCGTTAAAGAATTCTTCGGTATCTAACAAAAAATTATTACTTGTGATGTTGATGACAGTTTCGACGTATTTATAATAATACTGATACATTTCATCGCTTTCGTCCACGTGCCATGTTCTAAAAGTAAAGTATTTTAAATATTAATTGACTCATTGTAGACCTTCATTGATGTGAGACTCCAGTGTCTAATATTACCATCCACAGATAGTAATAATTAAATATAATAAAATTTTATTTAGGTACATTTGCAACATTAACACGCAGAAGATCTCATAGTTGAAGAGCCAGTGAACTATTTAACTAACCTCTTTTCACAAAGCTAGAAATTTTAACCGTGGAATGACTGCCAGAATGGTACTTTTATATTGGACCATTAATAAAATATCATTAAACAACTTGTAGCTTTGTGAAAACAGGTTAGTCAAATAGTTCACTGGCGCTTCTCTTATCATGCCCACCGATGGGACACAACGTGTTATCTGAAACCGCCAACTTATTATTATTGGCAACGCACGATTTTCGTTGCAGCCCTTTACGTGTTAAAAATCATTTCATAACATTCTCGATTTCTCGTATGTATTGAATACGTGTAATATGAAAGAAAACAGATAAAAATTTGATACATACTTCTTGATATATGACGAAGCCTTTTTCACATCAATTTTGTCTGCGTAGCAAACTGTAAAAGCTGGAAAAGGCATTTTCCAATCGTCCGATCGCAATTGCAATAATGTAACACATGGTCTTGATTTGAAACGATCCCATTGACCCAGGCATATCAAAACGGTAGCTGTTACTGATGCGATCATAACAATCAGCCAAAATAATCTTGAATTAGAAACAAGAGATTCATTAAATAATTAGATTTTCATTTTCTAGAAATTCTAGTCATTTTCTAGTAAATATTTTTGCATTAAGGTATCTGCTTTAACAGCTATTGTTTGTGCAATGAGCCAGATGTAGAATTAAGATAATGAACGTAGACTAGAAGTTGTGCGTCCTAAGTTCGATTTCAACCTTGGCCAACTCGACATCAAGCAGTATGATACCAGAGTCTCGAATATGATCTAAAGTGAAAATTACTTTTTGAGGGCAGTGCTGCAATATAATTAGAGAATTATTAATGGTCAGGTTGAGTCTTCCACATAGAGCACAAGTAGTTTTAATTAGTTTTGAGTAGTTTTGATTGCTGTTGAAATAAATAAAATTAAATATTTGTGCAACGCAGTTTCATTTCTATGATGATTTGCCAATGAATGCTAAGCCAATACTTGATTTATTGTAGTTTAGGTAACAGTCACAGATAAAAGATAACGACGTCATATATGTAATACTTCAAAAAGCATATGAGTTAAAAGCGTATGTGTTTGTCGTATATATTTGAGAATATTTTGATATAATTTTTTCGACACTTTTGCATAAAAGCGAGTTTTTTTATCCACCCATAGATTTTAAGCGAGTTTTTAATCCATCCAGAGTTATCAGTTGATACTAGATACTTACTGTAGTGTGGGATGCAATCATTTTTTTAAGGTCAGGTCTAATCGTTTTGGAGTAATAGACAAAAACTTCCAAAATTACTCTTCCAAAAACGTATTGTAATATTGACAAAGATCCTCAAATTTTTAGAACGATGAACAACTATTACTGATAGTTAAAATATTTAATTCTGAGTAAATTATTACGCATAAAATCATCTTTTATCCTGGTAAAATGATGACATCTTCAAAAACTTTGAATATTTCTTCTCGAAACGCAGCACCTAATTCCATATAAGTATATAAAAAAGACAAACTTACAGCGAAAAGCCGCTGGAAAGTTAGGAAAGTTGAAAAAAGCTTAAAGAATATTTAGAGTTTAAAAAAATAAATTTAATATAATAATTGAGTATTGAATTAATAAACAGAAAATTGAGCAAAAATTTGAAAAATTATAGTTTATTGTGCATGGCATTTGAAGAGGAATCTGGATTAAATCTACACTACAAAAAAAAAACAATAATCAATGCTATTGAAAAATAAAAACTAGAAAGAAAAATATTGCAATAGCACAGGTAAATTTAATTAGAAAAGAAAAAGAGCATTAAAGCAATGTGGCGGTGAGAGGATAGAAAACTATAAAAAATATATTGTATGTTAGCGAGAAGAAAATGAAATATTTCAGCACATATTATAGTGTGCTTATATCCCATATATAGGAAAGCTTTTGGGCGGAAAATTTATAGTTATTAGATATTACTATAAATAATTTTGACTTACTTTTCAATAACATTATTGTGTTTTAATGTTAAATATCTTACACCATGTAAACTGCTTTCGTCGCAGAATCTAAAAAGAAATTGTTTTAGTGTCTTCAACATGATTGGGCCACTTGTCTATTTGATTCACTTGTATTTTAACTAACTTACGTGTTTATTGCAGTTCCACCCAACAATAGTTAATTCATGCAAACGTCTACCTACTAATGCAATTTACTTGTTAATCGAACATAATCATAATTAGCTTTATCTGAAACCTGTAAAAATCATTAATGCCATTGGATTCGCGTGTTTACTTAAAATATGTTTATTATTATTTATAACATGCAAATAAGGTTAGTCTACAACATGCGATTGCGACATTTAATAATTTCGAAATTATCAAAAGTCTTTTTTTGTTTTCAAAAAAATTAAAAATTGTGTTCATAATGTTAAAAAAAAATCAAAATAAAAAAAATCAAAATTCTCAAATAAATGTTATATTTTCAAATAGAAATCTAATAAATTGCGGTACGGGAATTTGCTATAGGGCACGTAGCAATGCACGAATAGTTTGTTTTCAACTTACGTAGGGTAAGTTATAGTAATCGCAAAAAAATCGAAAATGAAAATTTTTATATATCTTCACATTTTAAAGGTTTTTGAACATTTTGGCATACCTTAGAAAAAATTGATGCATGTGTATGTGCGTGCGGATACAAATTTTCGTCGACGATTTCGAGAACACCGATCAACCGAATTGAATAATTTAAAAAACATTTGATTCATATTAATAATGAGACCTGCTTATTAGTTTTTGGCAAAGGTCTAGCCTTTCTGATGATAGGGGCAAAAAGTGCCAAAAACCGTAACTCCGTTTTTAAGAGAACGGAGCACCCGATTTTAATAATTTAAGAAAACTTGTCAATTTTACTTGTATTGACAAAATGAAGATCTGATTATTTTTGGGAAGGCAGGTTCAGAGGTTATAGACTCCCAATAAAAATAACTTAAAAGATGTCATTTGGCAGTCAAAAATGTTTATTGGACATATGTACATCAATTTATTAGATATTTTATAGAGGTTTCAATAATGTGTACACATTTTGTGTAATTTTTTTTGGGTTCCGTACCAAGATTTTTAATTACGGTACGGAAAGTTTGCCTTAAGGCACGATGCCATGCACCCCACTAGTATTTTTTTTTAATTAAAAATTTTAATTATTTAGATTAAAACAGAATAAAAAAACTCAATGAAACAAAAAATCGTAACGCAATAATGCAAAAGTATTGCAAATATTATATTTTAAGGGGGTCTTCTTATGTGACGGCCTGTTTTTTAGGGATATTTTAGGATTTTTTTTCTACGACCAGTAAATATTTAGAGCTTCAAGTTTTTTATCATTTATTAACACATATTTGGACAGTATAAATATAAAATGTCAGCTAAAAATATTCAGTCAAACTAGAGTTACAGCGCTCTGAACACCCCCGCCTCGAAAAAAAGAGCTCCCACTTCCTCCACGATTCCGGCTGATCGGCTTATCTGAAAAAAAAAAAATTGTAGGCTTAAAAGCACAGAATGACCTATAATCAAATGAATATAGAAAAAATTGGATTTTTGATAGACGTTTGAAATAAAAGTTGCAAATTAGGCGTTTTTTTTTGTTTTTTGCTATAAAAAAATCGAAGTTTTGAAAATTTTGTGCGTTTAAATATATTGAGTGTGCCCTGTAAATTTCAAGTAATTCGGTCTAGCCGTTTCTGAGATACAATGGAGGAAAGTTTGAAAAACACAGTTTTGAGAAAAAACGCGTTTAAAGATAAAATGATCGTTGTACTATATACTATATGTATACTTTTTAAATGGCTGTAACTCAAAAACTATTTGAGATATCGATTTGAAATTTTAATATGTTATTTTTAAAGGTGTAATCTAGCGAAATATAAAAAAAATCGAGTTTTTCAGCCCATCACATAGGAAGACCCCCTTAAGAAACTTCATGGCTTCGTAGGATGTCCCAAGCATATTTGATACTGATGAAAACGTTTTATTAATAAGTACTAATATATTTAATACTTTTACTAAGTATAAGTAAGTACATATGCATATACACAATATACATATTATCTATTATACCAAAAAAGCCCCGAGACGATAGTGCGTCATTGTTCATTGATATTGATGTGTCTTATCAATGGTGTTGAGCTACGCTGCTACGCTGCTACGGTCGCTACGGTTGCTCGATTTTGACAGATGGCCACTTGCTGCTTACGAATGTAGTTGATAAACTAAATACGTGTGCCGCGATAAAAATAAATAACTCGATAAAAATTGATTTGCACGTTCAGTAACAAAAATTAATTTAAATCGAGTTAGTGAATTGATTCAACTCGTCAAGATGAAGTGCAAATATATGATTTTTGTTGCAGCTATTGTTTATCTTACGTTCTTGCAATGTGTAATTTCATATACAATCCAAAGATATTCCATGCTAATGCCCGATGTGAAGCCAAACAGGCCAGAATTATATTTATGTACACCAGTAAAAGTTGATTATACAAAACCCTACTATATTGTCGGCTTTGAACCGAAAGCAACAATGAACACAGCCCATCATATGTTGCTTTATGGTTGCGAGAAACCAGGCTCTGATAGACCAGTCTGGAATTGCGGCGAAATGGCACAAAACGAAAATTCTGTTGAAGAAACTGCAAGTCCTTGTAGTGAAGGCTCTCAAATAATTTATGCTTGGGCAATGGATGCTCCAAAATTAGAGTTACCGCAAGATGTTGGATTTAAAGTAGGTAAAAACTCAACAATCAAATATTTGGTTTTACAGGTTCATTATGCACATATAGATAAATTTAAAGACGGCAGCACTGATGATTCAGGAATTTTCTTACATTACACATCTAAGCCTATGACTAAATTAGCCGGAGTTTTATTGCTGGGAACAGGGGGTGCCATAGGCCCCATGACCACTGAACATTTTGAGACGATATGTACTATTAATGAAGATAAAATCATTCATCCATTTGCTTATAGAACACACACACATAGCTTGGGCAAAGTAGTATCTGGTTACAAAGTTAGAACAAATGAAAGTGGTTTGGATGAGTGGACAGAGCTAGGTAAAAGAAATCCATTGACTCCACAGATGTTTTATCCAGTTTTTAACAATGAAACAATTAATCGAGGCGATAAGTTAGCTGCAAGATGCACTATGACGAGTCTCCGGACTACGTGGACTCATGTCGGAAGTACAAATGCAGATGAAATGTGCAATTTTTACTTAATGTACTGGTCAGAGAATGATGAACCTCTGGATATGAAATATTGTTTTACTGCAGGGCCACCGTACTTTTATTGGTCCCGATCTCAATCAGGTTTGAATAACATTCCTGATGTTAAAGCTAGTTTACTTTCATAAATGTGAGTTTTTACTTTTATATTTTTAACCAGTTAACTGAACACCAGTTTATGCAAAAAGTAACATGAATCCAGAATTATGTTTCACTTAATAAAGATGCACTACAATTTGATGAGTATGATTAAAATTTAAAACGTTTCCAAAAGACGATAGTTACAAACTGGAAAAAAAACATATAAAATTAGTTATTTATCTGAATAAAGGAAATTTATGTACAAAATACACATATTTGATATCTAAATAAAAAATATAGTATTAGCAGTTAACTGGTTAAATTGGAATCTCAAAAACTTGTTGAAAACCAAAATGAAAAATATATCAAAATTTACTTAACATTCCTGACAATGCAAAAATACTTTAATATAATGAGATGAATGTTGTATTAAGCTGTTTACTTTGGCAACATTTACTTAAAGACGTTTTTAAAAACTCAAAATAATTTATCATTTTTGCTTGTATCCAACATTTTATTATTATTTTATTTTTGTGTAAATATTTTGTTAATCAAAACTGTAAAAGTCTTATTTAAAAACTGCTGTGAGGTACAAAAAAGAAATAATATAAAAAATACAGTAAATTGATTACTTATATTTGAACAAATTAAAGTACTTTTAGTAATGGTTCTAATTTAACACTTTGAGTATATTTGATGAGTGAGACTTGTGTCCATGTATATATCTAAAGCTGTAAATGTCGAGTTTGACTGGACATTAAATACTTTGTTTACATACATTTACTCAATTGAAACAAACGAAATTTCATCTTTGGGTTGTATTTTTTTACTTTTCATTTGTTTTGTGAATAGATTTATATTTTATTTCCATTTAATAAAAGCATTAACCATAACATTTAGCAAATTTAAATAAATCCCATGCGATAGACAAATTTAGAACCCAAGGGATGATTTTATTTTTTGTTTTACTTGAATAACAACTACTATGTATGCTATTTAGAAGACCAGATTGTATTTTGATGATATAATTAAGTTTGTATATATTTTATACATATATACTTAATTTTTGTTAGAATAACATAAATTAGTCAAAAGGATTATCATGTTGCTTTGCATAGCAATAAATTGAAAATCACTTTAATTCAGTTATTTTTGCCATGTGGTGGAATGTATTTTGCAATTGTCGTAACAAATCACATTTTATGACCATATAAATTTAAATTTCAAACATCTGGCAAAAGAATTCCTTTTGATTATTTATCCACTTATTTCCACAGAATAACATATACAAAGTTCTTGCAATTTTATTTCTTGTTAACATAGTGCAATATTTTAAATTATGCATTAATTTATAAAATATATATTTATATGAATCTCATGTTATAAATATTATATAGTTTATACAAAATTTTTTTAAATAACATTCACTATATTTAAATATATATTTTTCTATCGAATAGATCAAATAATTTGTATTTGTAATCAGGTTTAAAGCAAAAACTTTACCTATTAAACTAAAAGTCAAGAGAAATCTATAAAATATTAATTTTTAATTGCAATTTTTTTTAATGCAATATCTGTGATTTTATTAGCATCACTTAATATTTTTAAGTTATTTTTGGTGCTTATTAATGTAATTTTATATTTGTTTTAAAATTTTATTTATTTACACTTACACATTCCAAAGAAGGATGTAGACTGTATTCCCTCCAAGTGTATGATCTGTAAAATATTATCTCTTATCTATTAAATTAATTAGTTTTATTTTTATATGGTATCATTACTTATGGTATACTGTATCATTACTTTTATGTAATTCAAATTATGAGGTATGTGCACATTGGTATATGATATGGATCACCTTTGTAGAACGATTTATACACCAAATTAAAAAAACCTGATTGAACAATTTCAACTTTCTATCTTATCAGTCAATTATAATCGTAAATATGCAAAAGTGACCGCTTTTCAAACTCACTTTTTAGTATTACTGTAACTTACAATAATAGATATTGAGAAGAAAATTGTCATGATTATATTAACTGATTTGTGCTATCTTATTTGTTATAGATTATGATGTTATCTGATTGTTGAAACATGCAGTAAATATAAAAAATAAAATCGATTATATATAAATTTAGAACTCTAACATAGTCTTTTTCGTTTGGTATTTTCTGACACTGCAGTTGTTTGGACTAATTTCCAATTAGAATCTTTCAAAGGCCTATAAATTTTTCTTGTGTTATCCAAAATATATGTTAGAGCAGCAAATTGAATAAATAAAGAATATCCCAATTTAGAAGAAATATTTGTTATGGAAACATTATTATAAATGTTTGTAATTATTTTATAAGAAAGCGTTTTCATATCATTTACAATCAGAAAATATATTCGAAAAGTGATAAGGTAGAAATTTGAAAGTTATGTGATTTTTTTTAATAATTATTTAAATATAGTCCAGTCATTATAGTAAGTTCACCTCGGAATTCGATATACCCAGCTGTATGTCTGTAAATACTTGTATATTGACATCCAAAAGTTGTCTCAAAAGCTACATATGGTATTGACATCCTACCATACCTAATTTAAACTTAAATGACTGGACTAATACCTAACCTGGGAGAGCTGATTTTATATGCAATGCGCCCATACCCTTTGAATCAATATTATTATTAGCTTCTGACATAACTAGACTTAACTAGAAATGCATTATTCATATTGAAACCAAGATATAAAAGAGGAGTTGGTAACCAAAGTGGACCATTCCAAATAAATCTGAGCGCCATCAAACCATGTCTAATTACCTTTTTTTTTTTTAATGTTTTTATATTATTTTCAATTAGTAGTATGTAAGTACTATTTATTACCATTAATTTAACAATATGTTATGATTTTTTCAATATATAAATGAACAATAAAATTCATAAAATGTGAAAGAAGAGTCTGAGCAAATTTTTTGCTGCCATTTAACACATATATAAATATTATTTTTATTCCAATTTGTCTCCAATCCAATCCCAATTCCATTTCTCACTATATCTGTTTGGACGATTTGTGGGATAATTCACTCTGGTTACCAACTCCTCAAATATCATGCTGATGAGCTCAAATTTTATTTGATAAACTGCTAATTTTAATTACGATTTGTGATATTAGTTTGATTTCAATAAAATTTAAGAAATATGTCCTTTGGCTTATCAAAATCCGCACACCAAATGCAACATCTTAAAACATATCAAGAACTATAGTTGGTCCCTTTAAATCTCCCATGTGAAAACAATATTGTGTTAAGTTATTTCATATATAGTATACATCTCATTTGTAATATTTTCATGAAAAGTTTTAACTACAAGTGACTGTATATCATAATTCACAAAGTAATGAAACTTTTGATTCAGCTTTAAAAAATATATTTTAAATAATAGCTCATGTCAATTGTTAATAAAAAAGAATAATAAAATGCAATTTATTATAATCAGTTTTGCATATAATATTTATGTAACAAACTTTTATGGAATACATTTTTTGTGTGATAAAATTTATATTATTTAACTATTTTGTTAGATTTTTATCCTACGGCAGACGTAATAAGATCAGCAACATCAGGATGTGTAGACCTGACGGTTAATTGCATTGTTACGCCATCTGATAAAGCAAGTTTTGCTCTTACTAAAACATCAATGCCACCCCTAAACATACCTGTAAAGAATTTCATATGCACAATACAATCAACATGAATATTTTACAGAAAATATTTGCACATGTTTAAATATATTGATCTCTAATGAATTTACCTGAACATAATAAGGTATGTGTAGTTTTTCCTTCGGGTACCCTTTCAGATCCTTCTGAAGGTGCTAATCCCAAAAATGTTAAAATTGTTTTAACAGCTTCTTGCAATGTATTTAAACTGCTTAGAGCGTATGTATCTTCCAATTGTATCCATTCTGTGACATTAAAATAGAATTATCAAGGAAGTTAAATATGGTTTGGTGTTTTATATTTAATTGTAAAATGAAGAACAACACAAAGCATTTTGTGTTCACAATTAGTAAATATTATTGTAATATATTTACGTTCATTATCTGCAGCGTCCCAAACAGCTCCAAAGTTAACTTTCTTCACCCTTTGTAATTGATCAGCTACAGATATGTCGAAATCTTCTAAAATATATTCATCATCATACCCTGAAAATAATTTCAGCTAATTAAAATATGTAACAGAATGTTTTCAGGCATCTTTCACATTCTTTTTGGTAATATTTAATTATTAGAAAGAATTAATAACTTTTTGCATTCATTTGAAATATATTTTATTATATTATAATTTCTTCATGAACAATGAAGTTTACCAATTTGTTTTTCATATGTCAAGTATTTCTCTGTGTTAACATATTTTCTAGTTGCAAAAAATTAAAACATAGAACAAGTTTTGAATTTTATAAAAGCATTTTTAACCCTTACTACTCGACACTGCATAATGACGAAAACGTGCCTGCTGTAAATTTAATATTATTGTATATGTTATGCAATTTGTTTTATATGAATTTGTAGACAATGCAGAACATACATTTACAATAATATCTAAATTAATTTTCTCCAGTATGTTCAAGTTTCAAGCTGTCGCGAAATTTTTTTTTTTATCATTCCACAGAAAAGTGGAATATAAGGTTTTCTATATGCCTCTCTCTTTTTTTGATAAATTGACGGTCTTTTTACAATATTTAAAAAGTAAATTATATAATAAAAAAGTATTTTGAAAGTAATAGTAAATTTATCACTGTCTTATCACTTTCTTTTAACTCACAGCTGGCATTTAATTTTTAACATTATATGGCATCATATATACTAATAAAAATAATATAGAAATACTACTAAATGAACAAAAGTAAATATTTCAAAAATTAATGCAACCAAAAAAGAATACATTATAATTAATTTATTGATGAAAGAAAGTTGATAAAATAAATAGAAAAAAAAATATATAAAGAACCGCTTTCTTGATCTATTCTATTCGACGCTTTAATACGAATGAGTCATTATATATACAAACTGACAAGTGCCTCAGAGGCGCCAGCCGAGTGATATGCTACAATTATGCTGTCCCCTCATGAGGACAGTCGATTGGAAAGGGTTAATAATATATTGCTTAAATATTAAAATTGCCTTGACAGTTACATAAAATTACCTTCATCTGAGTCTGGTAATCCAGTTGCAGGATCACAATCTTTCACTACAAATTTCAAAGTAGCTCCAAATGTACCCGCTGTATCAACTAAATCATTTGGGTATTCTAAAATTATATAAACTGAACCTGGTTCACCATACGGTAATCGTTCACAGGTAATTTCATTAACAATATTATATCCAGGTGCTAGCTCTAAGTGCACTCGTACATTTTCTAGCAGTTGATCAGACAAAGTATTCACACAGTCAAACTGAAATATGAGAAATTCTTTCATTATACATAAAAGAAAGTCAACTTATTAAAAATAATAAAACAATGTTTTTAAACATTCAAACTTCATACAAACATACTGATTTCTTTCTTTTTTTTTTAATATAAGATTGCATTCCAAGAAATTGAAAAAATTGTAAATAAATAGAATCTAGGCATAAAGAACAATATTCAAATTGAAATGGTACTTCACCAATTTTTGAAAAAAATCTGTTTTATAAGCACGGGACTATGTGATGAAACATATCCTATCTTATATAGATTCAAATTGTTATATTATAACTTATTTACCTGTAAGACAATGTGGGAAGTGTAACAATGCTTAATACAAGAGACGGTATATTCAGTTTCATTTTCTGTAAGTTGAATTGGAGGTGTTGATTTAAATAATGGACCTAATTTTGCAATGCCTGGAATGCCAGACAATTTCTCATTAAATACTTCTTCTCTAGTCGCAACTGGTGCTGGCAAATCTGTAATTATAATTAACACTCAAATTCACATTTAAAAGATGTCTCTCAATGAAACGTTTTGCTTACTAGTAATTATCATTCCCTCATTTGCAATATTATTATGTTCAACTGTAGGAGCCGCTGATATAGGTACTGTTTTTAAGTCAAAAGGTTCAACACAAGGTGTCATTAAATATTCTAATAATGCCCTTTCCAAAGACACTAGAGACAACTGAAAATATTAAATGAATCATCAATGATTTGTAAATTTATATTTAATATTAGTTTTTTATGCAAGACCTGTGAGGTTTCCACAATATATTCATTACACAATGACTTATCATTTCGATTTAATATGGAGCTGTAGTAAGTTGCACGATCTCTAACTTCATCATCTGAATCCATTTGACAACGAGCTAGCAAAACCTTAAAAAAAATTGGTCTAATTAGTATTTTCATTTTTTAAGCATTAAAGACTGTACATTTTTTCCCAGAAATATTCCCAGTATTAATAATCCAATAATTAATATAAAACATGATTAGTTTCTTAACCCATTTTAGTTCATGTGCTATCTAAGTGCATAAATTAATTAGTGTTTTTTCTTTTGGCAGAAACCTGACATGCTTCAGAAACAATTTTTCACATGAAACTGATTATTGCTACTTAGCAATCAACTTTATTTATACCTGTATATTAGGCAATAGATCAGGACAAAGAGCACCAAATTGAGCCATTGCAGCAACTGCTGCAGCTCTAACAGTTGCATTTTCTAAAATAACCCGATTGTATATGAATCTAATATATCTGTTAAAAAAAAAATCATATTTTCATCATTACAAGCCAGTTTTTATTTTTGCCATATAATATATGTTTTGTCACCTTGATGGCTGTTTTGATCTGGGTCCCTCCTTTCCAAGTAAATGCAAAATTCTAACAGCAAGGGAAGTATGTTCACAATCTTCTATAAATTCACATAAATGTGCTAATCCAGTTTCTTTTGCTTCAGGATTTTCTTCAATTATTGTGATGAGAGTGTCAGCAATAGAAGCTTTGTATTCCAAACCGCCTATAATTAATTTTAACATGAAAAAATATATCAGAGGAAAATGTATTTTAGATAATAATGTAACCTTCATCTCTCAACATTGCACTTAGAAAATTCATCAAAACGGCATGCTTTCTTGGGAATTTTATGCAAAGAGATCTAATAGCTTGAACGACCACAATTTTGAATTCATCACTTATTTCCGAAACAAATGTAGCAATCTGCTTCATAAGTCTGTCTATGGATGATTCAGCACCAGTTTTAAGCAAAGTTGTTATTGCAAGAGTAGCAACTGAACGATTGGGATCAGTAATTAGACCCTCTAGATCTAAATTACAAGCTGTTACAGCAGCTGGGTGAGTCATTGCCACCTATAACAAACCATTAATAAGTTAAAATTTTTAACTGCAACTTAAATACATGGTTGAGTTTGTCAAGTTGAAATGTAATACCTTGTTCAATGTTCTTACTGCAGCAAATCTTAATGTCGGTTTTGGTGAACTACAAAATAGTTGTAATATGCTTACAGCGGGTGCCAACTCATGTGCACTTGTTCTATAAATGAATATATAAAATTAGTCTCTATATTGAAAAATAATGTATAATCTGCATAGCTATTGCACAACTTTAAGTAATATAAAGTCATAATTTTAAAAGATATTGCATTGAATTTGAAGAACAACAATAACAGTTATGAATAAACTTGAAAATTATTTAAAAGCCATTTTTAGATAATATTATACCTTTGTAAATTCACAATTGCATGAGCTGCTTCATAAATTACCATCTCACTTTTATGTCTAAGGCATGCCTTGACAAAATTAAGTAATGGAGAATCATTATTTGTACCATCCTCTTCCTCAAGTAATTTGCAAGCAATACGTATCTGAAAATAATTGTAATCTTGTAACAAACAAAATACATTTTATTATATATAGAAATTATATTGAAAATCAAATTAAAAAAGAACTTACCAACATACAAACGGCATATGGAGACTTCATAGAGGATCTTGTAAGTTTTCCAACTAATTTTGAAACGGCAAGGCGATCTGTTTTTCTTATGTGATATAGAAGGCCCAAAGCATGATATTGTACCATAATGCTAATAGAATCATAAAGTTCTTAATGTATATGAGGATAATATGCCACATATGACTGTAAAAATTATAAAAATTACTTATCACTGTTCAATGCCTCTTGAACTTCATTGGCCCATCTTTTCACAACTTCTCCAGCTGATTTGGCCAAGTGCAAAGAACTAACTAAAGCTGCACTACTAACAGCTGGATTACGGTCTACAATACATTGTTTCATGTAACGCTCAATTGATTGCAACATCATACCCTAAAATATTTGAAAAATATTTATTTAAAGAGTATAGCATTTTCAATAAGCATGATAAAACTAAATGTTATAGAGTTGTAATATAATCAAATTATTTTCATAAAGGTAAAAGATGCTCTTATTGGTTATACAATGAGTAAAACAAAGTTAACAAAATCATTCAAATATTGCAATATTATTTTATTGAATCACTCACTCTATAATATTTAGAGTGGCTAATGAATCAATAGATAATCATTAAGAATAACATCTTGCAAATTATGATCAGATTTACACCTTAATTATTTTTTAAAATACAGAAAGGTATATGATTTTATGATAATTCTGGATATTTAATTAAAATGCATTAAATTACAAGATCTATCATCAACCTGAATCACTTATTTCCATGAATCAAGTATAGAACATTTGTATAATATTACAACCAATAAAATGTGTATATTTAAAAAAAAAAGATATTTGTGATCATGACAGTGATAGTTTACAAGGGTTAAATGTTTCGATGATAAATACTTACATCGGTTATACTACATAAGGCTCTAATTGCTGCAGCTCTATATAAATCTTCTTTACCAGTCATATCTTTGGTTAAAGAGCTTGTTACAATAATGACATCATCAGCTAATGTGCTGAGCTCCTATTAAATTTAAAATTAATATGTAATTGTCTCAATTTTTGTATGATTATAAGCAATACACATTTAATATTTTGAGCACCTTTATCCCAAGATATACCATTCTTCTCAAGACTACATCACGAGACTGGAAAAGTTTAGTCATTGCAAAAAATGTTTCTGTAGCTTCTGTAGCTCCCAATTGCTCTCCCTGAAAATTATAAATAATTTTGTGAATATTTTATTTTTTGAACAATTTGGAATAATGAATTATGAAACGAATACCTGATTTAATAAATATAAGATTTTTGTAAGAATATGGGTACATTTTCTTGGATTTACTGGGGTATCATTAAAAGTTCTAGCCTCCTGCAAAACTGTAGTTTTTTCAATATTTTGAAACGGATTACCTCCCCCTAAAAATTATAAGAAATTAGAATGCATATAAAATGAACAAAATAATAGGATTGCCAACCATCTTCTTCTTCTTTTTTATCTCTTTTAAAAGAACTCATATTTAAATATTTTATACAAATGTCAATCCTCTTACACGTCACCGAAATTCATTCAGTACAAACTTTGATGACTTTATGACAGCTTTGTGCAATCAAACAAGAAGGGCTGCAAACTTAATAAAAATAATCCACATTAGCACCATCTTAATAACAACAATAATTTGAGCTGTCAATTTAGGTCACGCTACTGATACACGATATCGTTTCTCTCAACCGATAAACCATGTTCAAATAGGCTGCTTTTCAAATCACTTGAACATTTTTTTTTAAAAGTACTTAGGAACAAATTTTATTTTCATTTAAAATACGTTAATTATAAGCTGTAGTTTCCAGTTGAAAACATTTTCAACCGATTTTAAAAATTAAAAATACATTCGATATAGTGCTGATTAGTTTTTGAAAAAGATCGTCGGGCCGTTTTTTTTGAAAAAGTTATATATAGTACAAACTCGTTTATCCGGCGACCAATTTATATGTACATATATATACCTACAATTCGAATTTTTGCATAATTAATGCTGCAGTTTAGTATATGTATATACATACATAAGAATGTGTTGATTTCTAATATCTATGTATGCATTTGTTATTTCTAATAAATACATACACATTTTTCATACATTTGATTATGCAAATGTCTATCGACAACTATATATATATATATATATATATATATATATATATATATATATATATATATATATATTATATAATATTTTATTCATACTTTGCCTAGAAAAAAAAATTGAAGAAACAAACACCCAAAAATAATTTTAGCCCATGGAAAGTGTGTCGAATAGAATCAAGTGAAAAATACTGTATAGCGTAATTTTGTTTACATTAGTAGTACTGTTTTAAATGAAGAGGCATGTACATTATTACAATTTATTTATTATAAACAACTTTTAGAACATTAACAAACAAAAGTAAGATGGACATTAAAATATCTTTTTCATACTTATATTATTATTATTCTATTAGTGTACACTTCAGCAAACATTCTGCACATTATTCTCACATAGAACTATTCACTTAAATGATTTAGTATAAATCATATTAAATTTCAAATACAATGCTTCCATAGTAGGATTTATTAACAGATTCCAACAATAATTGATTTCAATCTAGAAACTTTATATAACACGTTTAAGAAAAATTAATTACATATGAATATAATCCTTTCTGCAAAATCCTTACATTTGTTGTTTCACACATACATTCAATATTTATACATTTTGTTTAAAAAACTATATTTAAAAAAGAACTAATAGCTAAAGTTACATGCATTAAATGCATTCCATTAAATTTCTTGAGCTATAAAATATTTTGTTACCAAATAAAAGCTTATAAGTATGACCCTATATCGCAATTAGTATTTATTTTATAATTTAGTTTGGAATTTGTTTTTATAAATCAGACTTTTCGTTTATGCTTTCTGTTGCTTCTGCTTCATCTTTCATAGTTTGGGCTGAAGAGCCAGGTACATTTTCCTTGTCTTCTTCAAGTTTTGTCATTAATGAATTATTATCTACCTTTGATCTTCCTCCATTTTGAAAAAAACTATTTATAGGCTTTTGCCAACTAGGTGTTTCACGGGGATGATATGAATTGCCAAAAGATTGATTTAGTTTTGAGCCTTTTCACAGGAAACACAAAAATATATAATTTTGTAGTAATATAACATTCTATCACAAACATTACTCACCAGAAGAACCACTTCTTGAATCTCCTACTGAAACCACTGCGACCGTCGTCCTACTTTTACCTGGAGCCTTACCGGCACTTACTGAATGGCACAAATATTTTTATGATTACAAGCTATAATATCGGCAATTAATAAACATAGGCACATATAAATTTTGAGCATATACCTTTAGTAGGTCCACCTCTTGTGCGCACCATTATAAAAATTTCTTTGATCAACGAAATGTCTAAAATCAAATATTTTCATCAATTGACGTTACCAAAATAATGTGTATCATAATTTTGATGTTTAGCGCGAAGTTTACCAACTACATAATAATAAATTGAGTTAAGCTGTCAATTTGACAGATCATATTTGGCCAAAATGTGAATAGCGTGAATAGTACCTGCATCTCAAATTTGAAATTTTTATTGCTTTCATTTTTAATTTTACGTGTGAATTTAAAATATAAATCTACATAAGATTTTAGTAACTACAGCTTATGTTGTAAACGTTGAATTTTGAATACCAACGATTTATACTAAAAATTATATTTGACATGACAACTGTCAATCGAAACTTATAAATAATTATGCTGATAAATATTTGTGTTTGTTATTAACATTATCTAGACATTGTTTTGACAGCAAAGCATGAATCATTATTTGATGTAGATATAGTTTTTCTTATCGTGTTTCGCGTTTTAGTTTAAAGTGTGTTATGTTCACATAAAATAGTTTGTGTTGATTTATTTTAGCGCAACAAATGTCTTTCCAATCTCCAAATGATTCAGATGATTCTGAGGTATCACTTCATTCAGATGCCTCAGATTCATCTAAGACCCACAAACAGAAGAAAAAGAGATCTGCACTCAAAGAATATTTTTCAAAGCAGATTGAGTCGACAAGTTGGGATCAGGGTAGAACTTCACCACAGAATAAATCTTATTCAGAAAGTTTATTTCGAAAGAGATTTAAAAAGCTAATTCATAAGAATGAAGTTATACAGAGTCCAGCTGTATCATTTAAAAATGCAACAAATCATTCTGGTAGTGATGATGAGAACTCCGTTCAAACTATCTTCCCAGAGAAGTTACAGCCGTCTCAAGACAAATCAGATGATAATATAAATGTTGTGTTAAACAGAAAAGAATCAAAAAGTGATGATGATGATGAACCAGAGGATATTGAACCAGCAATCGATGCATTGGATGAAATTCATCCCATTTTAGGTCAAACTGCATCAACAAATTTAATTTCAAATATTTCTTCAAACCATTCTAGTGTAGTAAATAATTCAAGAACTCAATATTCATGGAATTATACCAGTATTTTTCTTATGATATTATTATCTTTGATAATTATTAGTGCATTTTTTGGTGCTCCATTATATTTTATTACATTAATCATTGGTATAATGATTCCTATTTGTACGAATATGATTTTCAAAAAAGTTATAGATTTCATTAAAAAGAAACTTTATATACAAGGAAGTGGTCCTGAGAAGACTGAATTTATTTTGCCAAAATATAATGAAATGAACATTCTGGAAGTTCCTTCAGTTGAAGAATATCAAGTGCCAAAAACATATGAGGTTTGTATTTTTGTATCATGCCTCTATTCCATTATAGATCATATTTTAAATATACTGTTTATTTACTAAAATACTTTGCAAATTTATAAAATCTAATCAACTTATGGATGAGTTATTATAACGCTTAAACATAATATTTAAGTAATATTTTGTAGTTTTAAAACTACAAACATTTTGAGTAAGTTTTGAGATTATCAGTCACTAAACTTTATTCTATGATAAATACAATAAATAAATTCAACTTTATATCATAATCATTTTATTTGTTTATGATAAAACATAAAAAAATATTTTCTGTTCAGAAATTATTCTACAATTATGTTTATGCTTTGTTATCATTTATTGTTTAGAATTAAATTTTTCATACCATTATTTATATTATTTTTGTTCAAATTTAAAGGGTTGGATTAATCTATATCCTCACTTTTCTTACGACCCAGAAACCTACCATTTATCAGATACTATTCCAGTATATGTAAAGATCAAAGGTAACTATCACAAATAATGCAGCATCTTTCTCAGTTTCCACGAAACTTTATTAATTGCGATTTTTAGGTAAACATTTGATTGTATATTACACTAAAAATCATGTAGCTAGACGAACAACTTATAATGAGCCTGAATTGAAGTTAAACATAACATCAAGTGTAGTTTATAATTTAAATAATGCGAAAGTGTCTCTTCTTCCTGATGGACTAGCAAAAATTCGGTATGTATATATATGTATGTATATATATATATATATATATATATATATATATATATATATTTCCCATACTAAGTTTTGTTAAATATCAACAAAAATATATGCTATGCTTTCAGACATTGGAGCAAAAAATATCCTATATGTATAGAAATTGAGAACACAACTGTAAAGAATGATGATGTTTTTACTAACGAAGATTTTTCATTGGATAATACTATAACTAATTTAGAGAAAGGTAGAACAAGATTTTAATTTATGTTAAAAGATCTGTTTTATAAAATTTATTCTATTGTTGCAGATGACTGCAGTGATTCTACAACAACTAATACCTTTCATGATAACACACAAGAAGATGAATTTAAAGTAATAATTTATAATGAATAATTAAGATTTTTATTAGAAAATAACTAAATTAACTTATTCAATTATTCTTTCAATTATAGGATGTTGAAGATTATGAAGAAAATACATGTGCTAGAAATTCAGTGTCATCTTTAGTGAGTTAAATAGAATTAGTTTTTGTATTTTTATTATATGTTTTTCACATTTTATTATTTTCAATAGGGTGAAGATATAGAAACCAATTCAGATAATTCACATTTAAAAGAAGATAGACAAAGGCTGTTGTTATTTGCTCGTGCCAATCGAGAGAAATATGACTGGTTTGTAACTAGAAATGTTTTCATCTCTATCACTAATGCTTTATCAATAGCATTGAAAATGTGATTTATTAAATTTTAATGATTTTTTTTTTTTTTCAGGTATTTGCGAATACTCTCCACAATAAAATTACTTTCTGTGAAAAATAATGATAAGGAATCAAATGTCAAGGTAAATTGTTATTGTATTTAATATTTGAGATCAAGACATATAATAAGATATGTATACATTAATTTATTTGTGTCAAAAAGTATGCATATATTCAAATTTAAATTCATGTTCTGAAAAGTTTATCTAGTTTGATCAGAATTTAAATAAATTATGAAAATAACAAATTTATGAAAAAAGTGCATTTTATGAATATGCATTTTCAAACATATCTACAAATTATGTACACCTATCAAATATGTACTCGTTTTTTGCACTAATTTTAGCCTTTACTATAAAATAAGACGTTCATATTGTTAATATCAATCAAGTTATTTGCTTCTAATATTTTAAACTTGTACTAGTAGTTAATAAATTAATAATTTTGGATTATATAAAAAAGTTGTTAATTAATTTCATTGAAAAATTTTCAACTTTATTTTGTGCAACCATAATGAGAAAACCTCGCTTATATTTACCATATTTAATTGATGCTATTAGATTTACCAATACCACTGCTTAGTCATAGTATTTGTGCTCTCTTTAGTGTTCAGATGATCGAGCATCAGGAAGTGAGTCAAGCCAAGATGAAACAAAGCAAATAGAAAAGAAAGAAAGTAGTCAAAATAACAATATCGGAACCAGTGATGTGGATTCTATATCTACAAATAGTAAATCTGGTGACTTTGAGAATGTTATAGCAGAAGATGCCTCCAAAAACAATGTATCTCTAATGGGTGACCAACAATATTTGAAATACATGGGTTATTTTCTACATGTGAGATTCTAATTGATAAGATTAGAATATTTATTTAAAAATTTAATAATTTATTTAATTGTATATAATTTAATGATAATCTAGAATTGCAATGTAATAAGAACTTATTCTTATATTTGTAAATTATTTTAAGAAAATTATCTTCCAATTCTAGATTTATATTTATAATTACATATAAAAGTTCCATTTTGTTTATATGTTATGATGTCATAATTCATGCATTAAAGTTATTATCTGCAGCCTTAATATTTACGATATTTTGATTTTAGGGAGACCATAAAGATGATACAAGTGAAATTAGCAGAGATTTTAATCTATCGATATCTAAAGATGTTCTCTGGTTTAATGTATTAGCTGGAAGAGTGCTTTTGGGTATTTTAAATGATCCTGGGTGGATTATGAAGATTCAAGAACGAATCCAAAAAAAACTTTCTACAATTAAGGTATCAAATGTTTAGAAGTATTTTCAAATTAATTGTTTTACAGATTGAACAAATATGAATCTGTGAATATTATTATATTGAAATAATTTAATAGTCAACCAAATAATTGTTTGAATTGAATCTTCCTTAATTAAATGCAGTTTGGATACATAACATTGAATTTGATTATTTGATTTCATATATCTATATTTAGTTCATATTAGGCAAAATATAAATTTCTAATGATTGTGTTTTTTTTTTAGTTGCCTTATTATATAGATGAGCTGGAATGTTCAGAACTTAGTTTAGGCGAAACACCACCAAAGATACACCGTGCTTCTAAGCCCGTTATGAATGAAAGAGGTTTATGGGTTGATTTAGATGTCACGTATGAAGGTCTAGTCACTCTAGTCTTATCTACAAAATTAAATCTCATGAAGTTAAAAAAAATTAATGCAGCAGACACTGTGGATACTAATGATCCATGTCAAAGTTCTAAAGTAACATAAAATTGATTAGAGTTTGGTTATTATTTATTATATATTTTTAATTGTTTTATATGTTTATTCAATAGTTTCAAAATCAGAAAGCATCTGCAATTTACAATAGTGATCTAGAAGATAGTGCAGATAGTTCAACATCTGATGATCAAGTTCAAGATACAAATTCAGATAAAACGTAAATATTGTTTGTATTACTTCTATTACTGGAAAAGAGTTTACATTTTTTTTTTTGTTATTAGATTTTCATTAGGTTCTATATCCCCAACACCCAGAAAGCAAAATAACAAAAGCTTTTTAAAAGTTGTTGATCAAGTTGCTGCCTCAAAGTTTTTCCAACAGGCAAGTCAAAATTAAGTATTATTATTGTTGAATTTTTAAGCTATTTGTAATGAATAAATGTACTAAAGTTTTTCGTATGATGAATATTTGATCAAGTTTTTATATAGAAATGTTAATTTGCATCCAATCGTTGAAGTAAAAGAACAATAAATAATGATCTATTTATTTATATGTTATGACACGGTATGTTCAGTAATTTTCTTTATAGTTTAATAACATACCGTGTCGAAACGTATAAATACATTATTATTTATTGTTCTTTTATTTTGACGATTGGCTGCAAATTAACATTTCAAGTATATGTCACAATGTGATATATATATATATATATATATATATATATATATATATATATATAAACTAGAGGGGTCAGATTACTGGATTATAATGGAAAAGTCATAATTTTTAATATACAATATTAGAAATAGCAAAAAATTTAAAAAAGAAATGCCGAGAGCTTTGGTTGCGAGGGTGTTGAATTAGTGGAGGTGTCGGATTAGTGACATTCTACTATACATTGTTCTTTTATAACTTATTTTATAAAACTCATTTTTTTTTTTTAAAAAAAATTACAGGCAACAGAAAATAAATTCGTGAAAAAGGCTTTAGTTGCTGTAAGCAATAGTCAGTTACGTTTACAAGTAGATTTTCGTGGACTAATTGGGGAATTAGTTCTGAATATTCCAAATCCGCCTTCGGATAGATTGTGGTTTGGGTGAGTATTTATTAATTTTCATATTTACTTACATATTTATAAATTTTGAAATTTTTGAAAAAAAACTAAAAAAACAAAATTGAGAAATTAATATTATTTATAGATAATGCTTTCACAAACACACTTTTTGTATTATTTAATTACATGGTAACAGTAAATTAAAAATATTTTTTTTATTCATACGCTTAGGAACATCTGATTTTGTAAACTTTATTTCTATTCTTATTTAAATCAATATTTTTTTATGCATTTGATGGAGGCTAATTCACAAGTATACAGAATATTACATTTTAATACAGCCTGCTATTTCTATTGTTGTCAATATAAAGTCATTCATTTCCGTCTATGACTAATATAAAAAAATCTTAAATTAATTTTGTCTTAATATTTATATATAAAGTCTTTTTGGGCAATTTTCAGAGTAAATATCTATTTACAAATTAAGTTTCTTATAAATTTAACAGGTGTATATTTGTATGCTTTTCATTTTAATTTTTTTGTGTTATTTGTTTGCTCTTCTGCAAATTTAATGTGCATTTTCGAATAATGTAATGGTGTTACTAATGTAAGTATAATATAAATATAATTATAAGAATTATAAAACTTTACTCATACTGTTTTTATATGCCACTCAAAATAGGAAATAGGAACGGTTAATTACATAAATAGAAATTAGCGCAATTATTTATGTTATACATGCATACATACAAACATGCATTTTTTATTTTGCTAGAATAGTTTTTTTTCTTAAGTAAAGCCATAACTGAAATTGATGTATACATTTTGGTAATTCTATTATCAGTGATAATTACGATTTTATGTTCTCACTATTACGAAACTTAAAATATTATAAAAATATCTCATAATTTTAGTATAATTAAATATCAATGGCATTTTTTTAGATTTTATGTTGCTATTAATGATCATATGAGTTGGTCATTCAACATTTGTCTACATTTACAACTGAAATGAAAAACAAACAAAAGAAATTAATATGTTACAAGTAACACAATATTATAGAATTCTTTTAAATTTGTTTTAAAATTTTATATTGATCATAAAAATCAGGATTCTATTCGATTTTTAAGATTTTTTTTTATCGTAGTTTTCGGAAACCGCCACGCATTTGGCTGACTGTTCATCCAGCATTTGGTGAGAGAAATGTAAATTTCACGTACGTGACGAACTGGATAGAAAAAAAAATTTGTCAAGAAATTGTTAAAAATTTAGTACTTCCCAACATGGAGGACCTAATTATTCCTATCCTCTTACCCCAGACGTAGTTGCTAAAATGAACTTCAAAATAAATGATAACGTTATGGAAGTTGCATTTATGTTATTTTGTTAATAATGTTTGTTCAACTCCTTATGCATAATGTTATCTTTCATAATTTTTATGCTCATCAGTACAATGTTTCGTTATATTTTAATAACGTTATTTTATTTTGAATCTACTAAATAACTTTTAAACCGGTAGCTCATTTCAGTATTACTTTAATTAAATTAGATTTTCTCATATGCTTTTACATATCTATTTGCATTTTTTATAATTAAAACCGAAATAATAGTTATCAGGCAGCTTAAATAAAGTATTGAAATTATTTTATTGGTGGATGCCATCCTTCACAACATCTATTTGGTAGCTCAGAGTAAAATAAATTAATTTGTTTAGTAAAATAATTGATTATATATCATTGTACAAACTATTATTTCTTATACTGTGACACCAGTGAACATTTTAGATAAGATAAAAATAACACAATGAAAATATTGTCAAATTATGTTTTTAATTTAATTGTTGACGTACCTGTGCCAGTTTTTAAACTCCTTTGTATGACTACAACACGAAAATTTTTAGCATATGTTTGTACATATAATTTTTATTGTTTTATTTTTCTGTATAAATCTCTGGATAACTATTATTAATTATGATTGTTAAATTTCTGAACTAAAAGTTCCTTTTTATATATAATTTGGATTTTGCTTGAAGATGATGAATGATTAAAAATCTCACAAATGATATTAATTCCAGTGATAGATCATAAGCAATCGCAAGATTTATAATACAATAAAATTATATTTATTTGTTTCTAAATTTAGTATTTGAAAATAAGTATAATCGGTTGTTAAATTTAGATTTTTCGGAGAATTTTATATTAGGGGTGAAAGGTTAATTAATTCGAATTAATTTACAATATTGGTTATATCATAACCCGCTTGCTAAATAAAATATTTAATGAATTTACAACTGACAGCCACATCTGGATAATCGACCTCTTAGAATTTGTATAATTGTTTCTTTAATAATATTTCATAATGCTATTCGGTATTTCTGAGATGTATTATTTCGGCGCATCATATTCTTCTCGAGCGACCTTTCTTCGAAGGAAAAGCATTAGCTAATAAGAACTCTTACTAATATGAATACAATTTAACCGGACGTCGCAAACCTTGAAAAATGCTTTAAAATTTCCCATGAATGAACGTTAATTGGAATTGAAATCAATCACCACTTTTTAAAAAACATTAATTGTTGTGTGAGTAATAAAATGCATATACGTAATAACTCAATACCGATTCGTTGCGCGGGTCCCTTGACCTTTAAGAATCAATAATAAAATTATTGTCCGTGTTTTCTAATGCAATAGTATAAATTATTATAAACGACCGATGAGAGAGATACACAGATTCAAAGGCTGTTTTGATTAATGAAGCAAGAATGGATGTGTTTAATATTTAATGATTAGAAAAATGCATCGAGCCGAAGCTAATAACTTTAATTGCGACTGTCAGAAGGATGTACTGTTGTACTTTTGTGATAATTAATAAAATATGTATATAAATTGATAATGAAAAAGTTATATTACCTTGGATTTTAACAGAAAAAAAAATAAAAAATTGGCTGCAGACGGCTTCTATATACATTCTAGTTTATAATTATTTTAATAATATATACGTTTTTATGTTAGTGTTAAGATATTGATTCAATAATTGTGATTCCATGAAATTATATGTATTTTTCTCTTGATTAATTTTTAATCATTTTTCTGCATTATTCATGTGATAAGAATAGCTGTGCGTGATTCAATACTTGTAATTGATAATGTGATTCAGATATTGGTATAATTTAAAAGCTCACATTACCAACTATTATATCAAATATTAAATGTATTTATTTTAAAGAAGTTTCTGTAATATGTCTCTGATTTAGATATATATTTATAAAAGAATTATCAATAAAATTGATTTAAATTTTCAACTTCATGATTTTTATTCATTATATCAGATATATATGAAATATCTTAATTAGTCTTTTAAATTACTCTTGTATAATAACCATAACTACTATTTTATTTTATGATAACGTAAAATTATAAGAGTTGTATGTTTTTTTAGTTTAGAAAATTGTCTTTAGCGGCGCCTTATGAGCGACATCCACTTGAAGATGTGTACGAGTGTCGTCTATACACGACACTGAGTGAAGCCAAGTCAACACTTACTTGGCTTCAAGATTCTTTATTTTGAGTTAAATTATAGAGAATTCTAATTTACTATTTTTAACTTCCCGTAGGGTAAGTAATTGTAATGGGCCGAAAATCGGAATTGAAAATTTTTACATTTCTCGACGTTTTAAAGGTTTCTGAACATTTTGGCATACCTCAGAAAAAATGGATGTGTGTGTGTGTGTGTGCGTGTGCGTATGTATGTATGGATACAAATTTCCAGTCACGTTTTCGGGCGCACGAATCAACCGATTTGAATGGTCAAAAAACATTCGATTCCTATCGATAGGGAAAAGAGCTGATTAGTTTTTGGCAAAGGCAGGTCCAGCCGTTTCGGGGATACGAGCAAAAGTGCAGAAAATAGAAACGACTTTTTGAGAGAACGGAGCATCCGATTTGAATGATCTAAAAAAGCATTCAATTAGTAATGATTGGGAGAAGTGTTTATTAGTTTTTGCAAAAAGGTTAGGCCCAGCCATTTCGAGGAGCTAAGTATTCCTCGAATATTTC